TGATGTGGTGAAGGCAGCCATCTTGGACAGCCTGGAGCAGTGCTGACAAAAGTTTTGGGCAGCCCGGTGGACAGGGGATGTGTGGCCCCGGGTCTTGGCAAAGAAGTTGACAGACTGGGTTACGCAGTGGTTGAGGCCTGGCACCCAGCTGTGGAGGCAGATTATGGGTCAGGTAATCCTCAGGAAGTTTGCACAGGGCCTCCCAGCTAGCAGGCGGGTCTGGGGGGCAGCGTGGAAGCTGTGGTCAGACTAAGGAATATGCAGAGGGGGAGTTCCGCCCCGAGGGAGAATCGAGCCCTGCAAGACGCAGAGAGAGGGAAGAAACCCATGAACAGCCCCCCGGGAAGCCAGTAGACAAGCAACGTAAAAACCACAAGGGAGCCCCTGGTCTCCCAGGACAACTCGTATGCTGGTGTTGTGGGCAACCGGGGCGTAAGAGCGGTGACTGTCCAGTGATGGACTGCAGCGCCACAGAGCTGGACCGAGGCTGGGGCGGGGGGTGAAGAAAGAGAACTGGGTTAGCCTGTGAGGGTGGAGAGAAAAGTCCAGAGAGGTTGGTGGAAATGGCTTCCGCCTGCTCCCTCGTACAAAGGCACATTGGCTTATCCATGGAGAAAGGAAGTATTATCCCATGGCCCGGGTATCCCTGGAGGAGTAGGGAAAATTTGCCTGGAAGCGGGTGGGGGTAGTTGAAGAGTTGCTCTACCCTGTGGTCCTAGGGGTGGATTGGAACCCTGTTCTGAAAGGAAAGGGCACAGGGTGGGGACCGAGGGAGAGGGAAGAACCCAAAGGGAGGGGGCCAGGCCCCTAGGGGGTGGAACCTGGAAAAGGGGGGTCCTCCGGATCCCAAGATGACAAAGCAAGAACCCCTAGGTAATCTAGCTGGGGTCAGGATCCTACAGGAGTCCCCCACATGGGCCCACCCAGTGGACGGAACCCTGACGATGGGGAGGAGAGGCCGAAAGAAACCCCGAGGGTGGAAACTAAAAAGGGAAGGGCCAAACTCCGATGGACAAAAGCCTGGAGCTGGCGACTCGGGGCAGCCTGGGAGTAGTTTGCACTGCAAAGGAACGTCCAGGACGACCTGCCCACGGTTGTGATTGGCGTGATGACCTCTGGGCGGGGGCGGACACGTGTGGCAGACCACCCCTTACCCAGTGCACCTTTTGTGGCCGGGGGATGCCAGAACCCCAAAAGGGTGAGCCTGGGGACCACCCTGGTAGGAAGGGACAGTGTCCTCAGAGTAAGTCCTCATCTACGACGCAGGCGAATGGTTAAGGAGAGGTTCCCCACAGCAGTCAACAGGTTGGCCAACCTCTCAGACATTCCACTCCAACGGACGCCATTACGCTGACCAGGCCCACTGACCCACTCAGAACAGTGGGACGACAGCCCTACACAAGTCCAGCCAGGCTGTGTCCATTGCCATCGGGAAATACGCCGCACTGCCCCAGATAGTCCCTGTTGTGGCAGTTTAGATCTGTCAGTGTCCAATTTACCACCTTAGAGCGCTCAGCCTGGCTTCTGAGCGTTGCAGTGAGAAAGGAGGGTCTAGAAATCCTAATCTGCGAACTGACAGTCATATGCACTGAGCCCCACCTCAGATATCTCCCTCATTTAACAAGCTGTATCCATCGATCGGGTACCAGGCCAATGAGTGTCGGATATCAGCATGGATAGAACAGACTAGCTCTGTGTCCCTCCTTTAGGGAATACTCCCATTTCTAGGATCAGCCTCTGCATTTGCCCACAATTCGGAAGAGGATGCTATTTGTCTAAAGGGGGCTAATGCGGTGAGGAATTTGTGGACACTTCCTGTGGTTGTGCTCCTCCACTCCAGGATACCCCTGGTTGTAGGTAGAATCAAGAAATAAGCCACCGGTTCCTTGGTAGAGTCCCAGGGTTCGTATGCACATTCCCCTGCTTCTTGGCCATAATATGTAGCCCTCAGACAGCACTTGTTGGGTTCAAAATGCTGGATAAACATTAGTTAATTACACCCACACCTCACACCAGTCTTCACTGGGCCAGAAACATCCTACCAAAGCCTTCAGCACTGGGAGGAGAGGAGAGAACTTTAGGAACAGCTGTAAGATGCTCTACAGGTTGCCACACAAAAAGCTTGGCCGGACAGATCTGCTGATACACTGCAGCTGGGAAGCGGATGCCCGCAGCAACAGACCAATGTGTTCTGTATCACCCTGACGGGCTCTAATGCAGCAACATTAGACCAGGACAATCCTCCCTGGTAGCACATCCTAGCATAGGGTGCTCCCTGTGCCGGGGCGGCCCATTCCCTTCTATGCTTCTTAATGGCCCCTTATTTCAGAGTGCACGTCAGCCCCGCAAAGCTGCCATTAGCGCTCCCTTTATTACAGGCCAAGCACCACGGCAATGGTGAGTCACGAAGCAGAGGTTATAAAAAAGCTTATTTACGATCCAGAAATTGATCCTCTCTTGTTTGAAGCTTCCTGTGCTGCTATTTACCATGTGGTTTCGCTCAGATGTTACACTACACATTGGGGCAGTAGCAATCAGGGCAGTAAACATACTGGTTCCGCACCTGCCTCATCCTGGCAGTGCCAGCCTAGCACCCACTGCATCCCAGCCACCCTATCCCCATGCTCACTCCATCCTGGCAGCACCAGGGTGTATCTAGGGATAAAACAACAGTCGAGTGGGCTTCTCCCACCCAAGCACAGCCCAGAACGACTGTGCTGGCCCAGAGCGATTCACAGTTAGATATCCCCACCAGTTCCACCTCCATCACATTGGCACCTACTCCATTCTGAGCTCAGTATCCTTTGTTCCCAGGTGCACCCATTGGACCATTCACACGAGCTAGGATCAGCGTTCCCACTAATTTTTTCCATCTACATGCGGAATGCATTTTGTTATATGCACTGAGGCATGTGTGGATGTGCACCACCAGTAGAAACGTGCTGCCAACTATGGGCACTGTAAACACTCTACTAATTAGCCGGGAGGCACCTGAATTGCTTCTGAGCGTCCACCCAAATGCTCAGCTTACATGGAACACTGGCCAGGACCATCTCCCAGCACAAGCAACCGAGGGGACATTGAGTGGTTCTGTTTCAGGCGGGGAGGTCAGTGGTCCCTGTAAACCAAGCACTTGGGCAGCCACCCAGGAGAGATTCAAATGTGGCTCAGCTGATTAGAAGAGCGCCTACAGCCAGCAATGGCTGTTTCTAGTAGTGGTGCACATCTGCACATGCCTTGGTGCACATAAAATTTATTCCACGCATGGATGGAAAAAAATAGAGGGAACATTGCAGGAGGAGGGGAACTGTGCAGCTTTGAGCCTCTCTAGGTCGTGTATCGACCTGACTTTGGACTCTGGCCATGGGACCAGAGAGGGACTCCACTCTGCCAAAGCCACCTCTGGCACTCCCCAGAGTGCTGTTCACAGCCCGCCGAGCTAGCGAATTAGTCTTGGGGGAGGCAGGTGCTGGCCGCCCATGGAGGCCGGCCCAGAAGGGGTCTCATAATGCACTTACAAAGCACTTTTCCTCAGCAGAGCGCGGCACAGACATGAACTAATCGACAACTGGCATTCGGAAAAGCAAATAAACAGGCCATCAGACTGCTCCTTCCTCCCAGTTGCCCAGACCCAGAGCTGGAGGTGGACAGATGATGGGGCTGAGGCTGTCACTGCCCTGTGCCCCATGGTACAGCCCATCCCCATGCCCATCAGTGACGGGGCTACAGGTCAGCCGCTAGCCCACAGGGCCCACCATGTGCTTGCTGGGCACAGGCGAGGGTAGAACGGGGCCAAACATTTTCAAAGACCAGTCAAGTGAGAGACCCGCACCCCTGGAGAAGGGCCAGTGCAGGGCCCCAGGGGTCGGCCACGGAAGAGGGCTGATCCCACCCATCTGCTCCCTCAGCCTGGGGGTCAGAGCTCGCCTAGGAGCGCCCTCTGCTGGCCGGCCCAAGGACAGACTCCGCTCCTCTTGGCCAGGGCTTGGCTCCAAGGTGGGCCAGCTAAAAGCAAAGGGTAGCCCTGGGGGATGCAGACTCCAGGGGAGTGATGGGGGGCAGGGAAGAGGAGCAGACTGAGGGGTGGTTCTGGGGGGGGCAGTAGCAGACGGCCAGGAGGAGTCTGATGCCAGGGGCTGATG